TATATATATATATAAATACATACAAATTATAATATAATTTATATATATATATATATATATATATAATATATACAAATATATATATACTGTATATATATATATATATATATATATATATATATAATTAAATGGAAAAAAACAAATAAATTGTTATTATTTTGTAATGAAGTAATATATTTAATATATTTTCATTATTTTTATTTATAAGAAATATAAAGTATAGTATAAAAAAAGCAATTTGTTTTTGTTTTGTACAATCTGATGGAAGAGAGCCGTTTATGAAGCTGGCATGTATTGATCGTGAAACATTCCTCTGAATGAGGTTGTGTTTTTCTACTGTTTGCGGTGTGACGTGCTCAGATCAGCATTTATGAGAATATCCGTATTGATTATCGTGTTGATGGTGACCGTCGTATGAGCAGTGCTCTATTGATCCACTAATCTAGCAGGCAGGATGGACCGTTCCACAGAGGCCAGAGAGGGGCCATTCGCCCTGATCTCATGACAGGTGGCGTCTTTCTCCTCTGCCTCCCCCTCCTCCCTCTTTTGTCTGGCCCAATAATGATTAGAGATCAACACCTGAGTCCCGCAGTATTGAACCTCCAAAGAGCCAAACCTGCATGACTGTAACTGATAGGGGTTTTATTCAACGCTACCTCACAATGAGTCCATTTTTATAGGGATACAAAATTTGTGGACCAGATTGAGAAATATGACTTATTTTATTCATATTTTGAATATGAAAATATTTATATTTGACATTTTCACATATATATGTATATTATGTATGTGTATATATATATACATATATATGTATGTATGTGTATATATATGTATAAATATGTGTGTGAATATATATATATATATATATATATATATATATATATATACATGTGTATATACATGCACACACAGACATAAATTGATTTGACAGCATTAACACACACACACACACACACACATATATATATATATATATATATACACACACACACACACACATGATATCTAGTTATGCATATATTAGCATTATACTAAAATAAAATAATACAACCAAAAATACTGTATGCGTATAGCATTATTATACTATATTTGCATATGTGGTGTTAAATATGTACTACCCATCTATAATAATTATATGTAAATAAAAATATTTTCCCGTGTGTATATATAGTACATACAGTATTGTCTGATATTACGCCATTAGTATGTTTGCATATTATATACTATAATAAAATGTTTCTATATTTTTAATGTATTGTGATTATTATTTTCTTATTATATTTATTCAATAAAGTAAAATAATACAATCAAAATATTTTATAAATGCATATAGTGAAGCATCGCAGCATTATTATACATTATAAAATTATGTTTATATTGCTAAAAAAATATATATATATTTGGTGCAATATATTTTTTTAGCAATATATTTTTTATACGGACTGCCCATTTATTATAATAATAATAATATATAAATAATGGTTTTCACGTGTGTAGTATGTGTATATAGTATAATGTTATGATTAACATTAATATTTTATTATTTGTGTTTTGCATATTATTTAATATTATTTTAATAATATATAAATATTTTGTCAATTACTATAATACAAAAATATTTAATTTATTATGATAAATGTTATATGTTTATTATTTTGTTACAATATACTTTTAATATCAGGGATAATTAATATATAAAAATGTGTTTGTGTGTAGTAAAGCTTTAAAGGATTAACATGGAAGCATTTATGAATTAAAATCATTTGTTGTATTATTTTATCCTGAATTCATACTAATATTTACCATATGTATTTACAGCCGTTTTTATTTTAATAATAGCCAAATAGAGCTCTTAATACATAGACTAGAATTTTGAGCTCCAAATAGTGGTGATATTTGTGGGTTTGCATAGCTGGAGTGTTTCTAATGATGGATTTAGAGTGTGTGTGTGTGTGTGTGTGGCAGGGAGGCAGCAGGTGCAGGATGCAGGTTCAGCGTTGGGCTTCTTTATCCCGCAGTAAGTGGACGGGACAGCTGAGCTCTCGTACCCGTGGGGAGGTGGGGGCAGGGCTGAGACGCACCCCTCCGCCAGCTGAGCTCATTAGCATCGCTACACACAACACAAACCTGCACTTGAAAGCAGCGATCATGTTTAGAAGGGTGTGTAGAACGCCTGTAAATCTACCCAGAGTCCTTTTACACAGCTGTCATGGACAATCTTACAGTTATCAGTGACACAGCTATGAATATTGGCTAATGAAGGGTATAATTGCTTAAAAGTGAAGCCTATAAATGCATGTAATGAGTTTGTGACGCTTGTTTAGAAGAGGGTTGTTATTACTTTTATAAGCGTTTACAATAAAACAGAAAAATGTATCTAGGGAACAGAATACGATTATCTTTTGACCACCCAGAATACACTTGGAACACATTTCAAAGCACATGTCATTTCTTCTGTAAATCTAAATGCATGTTCTTTGTTTTTTCGTGTGTGTGTGATGAATGTCGGTGACCAGGATGGAATCAATCATTGTCTAATCAATAAGGAAGGACAGGCGAGATATTGACCAGCCTCCACACCTGACAGCTGGAGGAACCAAGACCCTCTATGCGGCCGATCACATTGCAGAGTAAATGGGTGGGGCTTACGTGTAGCTCCTCCTCCTCGCTAGAGCTCCAGCGTGAAGAAGCGAATTTAATTTGGGCCTAATGAGTGGAGCTAGAGTATCCAACCACACCCTAACCCTACCCACAAATCTATTGCTCCACCCCCTGCAGTGAGTACCATTTTTTTGTCAATGGCAGGCAAGCGTGGCGTCACAAATGACAAAGTTTTCGTCAATGTCATGGAAGGATTTAACAGCAAACGTGTTCTGTGTGAACCAGTCCTTTTCCATCGCACTGCTCTACTTTTCCATTGTTTTTCTTAAAGGTTGAACTTACTTCAACTTGAGCCCCACGTTTCTAAAACACTTGTTATTATACACAAATGTGCGAATAAAATGCGAATATCATATGCGAATAATATAATAGCGTTATCTTAAAGCACACACCGACATCAGGTTTACATCGGAAAATAGAATGGCAAAGCAGCGTTTAATGAAAAGAAAAAGTGCCCTTTAAGTTACCGTGAAATCAAAATGAACAATTCTTGTTTTGTTTTTTGACAATTCTTGTTTTTTGTATGGAATATTGCAGTATTCATTATAAATTTGTTATGCCCTCGTAATCTTTTATCCAAATAACTTCCCCTCCCTCTTGTAGCGATTTCTCTTCTCTGATGACGTTTACTGGTGTGAGGGTAGGACAACCTGTCACTCACATGAGATTAACCAATCGCAATCCACAACCATCCAATCAATTCCCAATGGACAAAAGTCCCGCCCAACATTTTGTCTTGTTCGAGTAGCCCTTTCACTCAGATATAGATCACAATAGTGAAGAAAAGACTATCGCAACTTTCGTTTCATGTTGACGTTTCTTGTTCAGTACAAGTTCCACAGCATTTGGTGTCTTTGTTTCCACAGTATTTTCAATTTTGAGATTTTTAGGTCAAACCGTTCTTGTCTGTCAGTCATATAATAGAGGTCTATGGGGTCCACCTCAAAGAGCATGCACAGAGAAGTCCAAATTAAACATGATTTAATAACTTGTAAATGTAAGTACACATTGATGGCCTAAGACAAGAAACGAGTGGTTTGTGTGAGAAAACGAACAGTATTTATATCGTTTTTACCTCTTGTAACCACAGCCACGTCCAAGTGATCTGAGGCCGCGGGCACTTCGGTCTGCGCAAGCGTCGGAAAGCACCGGAAGTGATCTCTCGCGTGGTTGCGAAAAAAAATTCAACATTGTCTGTTGATATATTGAAATTGTCTTCCATTACGATTTCCTGTATATCTAGTTTAGATCTTCACAGTGAAGGGTAACACTTCCGAAATCTCTGTGTAAATAATGAGTTTTCCTGCAAATCCGGCGCTTGCGCAGACCGAAGCGTCCTCGCCCCCAGATCACTTGGACGTGGCTGTGGTTACAAGAGGTAAAAACGCTATAAATACTGTTCATTTTCTGTGTTTTAGGCCATCAATGTGTACTTACATTTACGAGTCATTAAATCATGTTTAATTTGGACTTCTCTGTGCATGCTCTTTGAGGTGGACCCCATAGACCTCCATTATATGACTGATAGACACGAACGAATATCAAAATTGAAAATACTGTGGAAACAGACACCTACATCTTGGATGCCCTTGAGGTAAGCTAAAACATATCAAAAATTAATTTCAAAGTGAACTATCCCTTTAATTTCCACTTGCCCCTCGAGTGACAAACAATGATTTTAACGTTTATGGTACTGCTAAAATACTAACAGTGTATGAAGGAGAAAAAAAAAAACAAGCTGTCCCACAAAAGCCAGTTGTTTTATTTCATAGGAACACATATAAATAAATGTAACAAAATACATTAGGTTGGTAGCTTTTTGCGCAGCACGTACCATAACACTGATATCCTTCAGGACAGCACGCTAATGGTGTCAGGTTGCACTGTAGAGGCATACCAATGCGCTGCCTCATAGAGAAATATCGAATCACTTTACTAAAGAGCATTTAGAGCTGATGATCAATGCGACTGCAGCGTGTGCACTGAGTTCTAACAGAGCGTATAAGCCTTTTTTTGACCGTGTGCAATATACTTGTTAGCAGCATGGAGAAGGTTTTGTATTAGAACCGACAGTCTGAATGCGAAAACGACGGAGGCTTTGAATGAAACAAAATGTTCAGAAGAAGAATAAACATTAACGTTCATTGGTCTTTTTTGGCAAACACGTTTAGACTGTCCTTCATTACAATAATACTTGAGTTTAACTTGCAGTCCTTCATACATAATTTGTGCCACAGATATAATATAATATACTGTCACGATACAATTCAATAGTACCATTCTGATAGGAAACAACGATCCAATGAATGTGACTGAATATTTTTTTTGAGGTACCACTGTAAATTAGCCATAACAGACGCTTTAGGGATGAGTTCGCCCCAAAAATGAACAAAATACATGAAAAAACACTTCATTTTTGGGTAACCATCCCTATAAAATGGACCGTCACACCATCATTGCTCAACAGCCCAAAAAAGAAAAAACACCAAAGGTCTGCCGTTTACACAAACTCATCCCTGACTTCATTTCTGACGCTCTTTAACACAGTGTTCGATTGAAACAAAACGCCATCGGAGTCATTCTGGCTCAGTCTGGTCTTCAGTTAGCGCTGTTGGCGTCTATGTCGTAGTACGCGGATTGAAGCCGTACTGTTTTGAGTCATTAAACGGGTCACCAGGTCCAGACTATGTCCCGCCACCTTCTCGCCGTTCACCTCTAAGATCTCGTCCCCGACCCCGAGCAGCCCCGCGTAGAGTTTCTCCATATTGCTGTCGCCCATTTCTTCAACGTACACCCCTTAAACATAAAGCGAGTTAGTCTTAAACGTTTCGACTGCGTCAGAAGGGCATGAAAACGAGAGCGAGAGGTCACTCACCTGAGTCTGGCCTGCCTTTTCCTCGTGCAATGACAAAGCCGAAGGGGCCGTTGGGGGGTCTGGAGAGCTCCAGTAAGATGGTGCCGTCAGGGAAGGCCTGAGCCACGCGTCCCACCGGGCGCACCCCACTGGGCCGCCCCACGTCCTCTACACTCAAGGCACGGTCAAGACCCCTAAAACACACACAGATTTATCCACCTAAAACGACCTATGAAATGGAAAAGTATTTAACTGCCAGAATTTAGGGTTATTTATATAAATATATGTATATATGTAAATATGTCATTTTATATTTTCAAATAATATATTAAATATTTTAAATACATAATTATTTTTGATAATCATATTTATAATTTAACCTTATTTTTTTTGACACCCTTATCAAACATTGGGCTGTATTCCATGAATACTTCCAAAGAATCCCATGTATTTTCAACTGTGAAGGCTGAATAAACAAGATACAACCAGAACAGATCTATCCTCGCTGGCTCTCAAGCAAGATGATGTAAGCTGCAGCTCAGCTCCAGTCACTAAGGCTGGAATTTCCTCTCTGGCTATCTCTCCTTCCCTTAGACATACATTCACACGCTCGTAAACACCACACATGCTCACAGGCACTATCGAATCACAGCGCCGCTGACAAACACACTGTATCTGGCACTGTGAACAACCCAAACACACTTAAAGGGCAGCGTCTAGTAATACACGCAAGAGGCTGAATATAGCAGCAGCATGTAGACAGGTGATCATTCCCGGGATTCCATGTCTTTCTTTGGCAAACGCACACCTCTATTTTTATCCTTCCTCCCTCCCTCTTTTTATTGCTGCTGCTGCTGCTGACCCAGTCAATGGAAAATACTAATCCTGTTGCACAACACGACAGCTGTCTGAACATTACAAGAACACGATGCATGCTCCGCAGAACATGTCATGCTTGAAATTGCCATCGTTCATTACACTACAGTGTTACAAAGAGGTAAATGGGATGATTTAATAAAACCAAGCGGTGTACATGTTATGAAATAATGCTTACAAAATATTATGGGGATGGTATCAGATTATTTTTTTGTAAATTATTATGGAATTATTTATTACAAAAATTGTAAATTCTAAAGAAATTATATTATAAGTATATATTCATATATTATATGTTTAAATATTGTAGTAGGCATATAATATTAATATTAAATGGATATTATAATATAAAATATATTATAAAATGTATATAATAAATATTATAAAATAACTGTATATGTTTTATATATATATATATATATTATTTATTAGGGGCCAAGCACCGAAGGTGCGGAGGCACCTATTGTATCTGTGCCGGTTCTTATTATTATTATTAGGGGCCAAGCACCGAAGGTGCGGAGGCACCTATTGTATCTGTTCCGTTTCCTATTATTAGGGGCCAAGCACCGAAGGTGCGGAGGCACCTATTGTATCTGTGCCGGTTCTTATTATTATTATTATTATTATTATTCTTCTTCCGACTGGGCGTCTATGGCAGCCCATAGACCGGTTTGCGGGAAAGTTGTTTTGGTTTGACATTCTGATAGAGGACAGTCCCAACTTTAAATACACCAATTTTGGTGTCTCTAATGCATTCCCTCTAGCGCCACCAACTGTCCAAAGTTTCACTTTTATTATGCTAATAACTTTTGAACCGTAAGGCCTATCAACAAAATTCTTTTTTCCTCTTGTTCCTGAGCTCATGCCGATTCGATCGCACCCTATGACGTCATTTTCCGTCATAAAAAAACGGCCGCCATTTTGAATTTTCCAAAAAACCTACTTTTGCGAACTCGTCCTAGACGGTTTGTCCGATTTTCACCAAAATCGCACCGGATCATCTCCAGGCAGTGCTGACAAAAAGTTATGGAATTCAAGATGATTCGAATAACCGTTTTCGATAAGCGCGCAAACTAATTTTACGTAGCGCTTGCGAAAACAGACGTGAGGTTGTATCTCCGCAACGCTTACTCGTTTTCAGACCAAACTTGGTACATGTAATCACAAGCATGACCTGAGGCTACATGCAGCGTTTCGGCGCAGCGCCACCTAGTGGTCCGGAGATATGAAAAATGGCTATTTTCGCTCATAACTTCTGAACGGTTTCTCCAAAAATCAAAAACTTGGTCTCGTTAGATTCAGGGCGTCATGCCGAGTCGACCGATATCCAATTTTCCCAGATCGGCCATTTTGGCTGTCGGCCATTTTGAATTATGTGCTAAAATGCTGTATTTTTTGAACGCATGAACGAATTGTTACGAAACTCGGTATGGGTCATCAGTACGATGCCCTGAAGGAGCCTGAGAAGTTTCGAAACAGCGCCACCTAGTGGTGAATTGTTTTATTCAAACGCTTATAACTTTGGGTGTGGTACACTTATTTTCACGGGAGTCATATTTTTGAGGTCCTGAATCGTTGCCGAGTCCAACGATACCAAATATGTCGGGTTTCGTCTCACGGATGGCGTAGCGTAGCGATTTAGCGCGAAAAAAACACTTGGCGATATCTTCAAAACCGCTGTTCCGATCGAGACGAAACCACCGCCAGAAACACGGAATCATAGCTTGTTAACTATACGCTAATGCCCAAATGCGAAAATATTGATAGTAAGGGGTAGTAAAATTCAAACAAAGTCATGTGTCAGTCATTTTTTACGTGTTTTTTCATATAAATGTTTATAACTCGGAAGCGAATTGAGATATTTTCACCAAAATTGACACACATATGTATGGGGTCACTCTGAGGACACATAAAAAAAATTGTGGGACTGAGCCTCTTGGTGGCGCTATAATAGAACAAAACGTGAAATTCCCATTGACTTCAATAGAGTTTTGTGAAATAAAATGCTATACTAAACAAATGCATTGGTGTAATATTACAAAACTCAGTGTGTGCCATAAGCAGCATGCCCTGAAGGTACTCAAAAGATTTTGAGACAGCGCCACCTGTTGGTCAAAAGTTATAATTAATTTCTGAGAACGCTAATAACTTTTGAATAAATTTGCCTATTGCAATGAAACTGATCTTAATAGATTCCTTGGGTTATGCCGAAAACATAGATATCAGGTTTTGCATAATCAGACAAACTTCCTGTCCGCCATCTTTATTTCTTTGAAAAACCTTCTTTTTCGAACTCCTCCTAGACCGTTTGTCCGATTTTCACGAAAATTGAATCGTATCATCTCCAGACCGTGCCGACTAAAAGTTATGAATTGCACGATGATAGACAAAACCGTTTTCGTATACCACAGCATCAAAATTTAGGCATGCTGCCAAAATTACTATTTAGGCTTTATCTCTGCAATGCCTTCACATTTTGACACCAAACTTTGCATGTGTCATTGTCACCTCACTCTGACCACATCACATCTATTTCGTAACTGCGCCACCTATTGTTCGAAAGTGATAACCCATTAAATCATCTTATAAGTTAATGTTTATGTGATTTTCTTAGCCATTTGCCCAAAGTTCTCTCAAAATGCCCTTAATTGCTCCTTGCTGCAGTTGGTCTGCCACTCCTTGCCATTTTGGCATATGTTGCCGCTTCTTGCGCTTGGCCCCGGTAATGGCTGCTTGCAGCTATATTTATTATTATTATTATTCTTCTTCCGACTGGGCGTCTATGGCAGCCCATAGACCGGTTTGCGGGAAAGTTGTTTTGGTTTGACATTCTGATAGAGGACAGTCCCAACTTTAAATACACCAATTTTGGTGTCTCTAACTCATTCCCTCTAGCGCCACCAACTGTCCAAAGTTTCACTTTTATTATGCTAATAACTTTTGAACCGTAAGGCCTATCAACAAAATTCTTTTTTCCTCTTGTTCCTGAGCTCATGCCGATTCGATCGCACCCTATGACGTCATTTTCCGTCATAAAAAAACGGCCGCCATTTTGAATTTTCCAAAAAACCTACTTTTGCGAACTCGTCCTAGACGGTTTGTCCGATTTTCACCAAAATCGCACCGGATCATCTCCAGGCAGTGCTGACAAAAAGTTATGGAATTCAAGATGATTCGAATAACCGTTTTCGATAAACGCGCAAACTAATTTTACGTAGCGCTTGCGAAAACAGACGTGAGGCTGTATCTCCGCAACGCTTCATCCTTTTCAGACCAAACTTGGTACGTGTTATCACAAGCATGACCTGAGGCTACGTGCAGCGTTTCGGCGCAGCGCCACCTAGTGGTCCGGAGATATGAAAAATGGCTATTTTTGCTCGTAACTTCTGAACGGTTTGTCCAAAAATCATAAACTTGGTCTCGTTAGATTCAGGGCGTCATGCCGAGTCGACCGATATCCAATTTTCCCAGATCGGCCATTTTGGCTGTCGGCCATTTTGAATTATGTGCTAAAATGCTGTATTTTTTGAACGCATGAACGAATTGTTACGAAACTCGGTATGGGTCATCAGTACGATGCCCTGAAGGAGCCTGAGAAGTTTCGAAACAGCGCCACCTAGTGGTGAATTGTTTTATTCAAACGCTTATAACTTTGGGTGTGGTACACTTATTTTCACGGGAGTCATATTTTTGAGGTCCTGAATCGTTGCCGAGTCCAACGATACCAAATATGTCGGGTTTCGTCTCACGGATGGCGTAGCGTAGCGATTTAGCGCGAAAAAAACACTTGGCGATATCTTCAAAACCGCTGTTCCGATCGAGACGAAACCACCGCCAGAAACACGGAATCATAGCTTGTTAACTATACGCTAATGCCCAAATGCGAAAATATTGATAGTAAGGGGTAGTAAAATTCAAACAAAGTCATGTGTCAGTCATTTTTTACGTGTTTTTTCATATAAATGTTTATAACTCGGAAGCGAATTGAGATATTTTCACCAAAATTGACACACATATGTATGGGGTCACTCTGAGGACACATAAAAAAAATTGTGGGACTGAGCCTCTTGGTGGCGCTATAATAGAACAAAACGTGAAATTCCCATTGACTTCAATAGAGTTTTGTGAAATAAAATGCTATACTAAACAAATGCATTGGTGTAATATTACAAAACTCAGTGTGTGCCATAAGCAGCATGCCCTGAAGGTACTCAAAAGATTTTGAGACAGCGCCACCTGTTGGTCAAAAGTTATAATTAATTTCTGAGAACGCTAATAACTTTTGAATAAATTTGCCTATTGCAATGAAACTGATCTTAATAGATTCCTTGGGTTATGCCGAAAACATAGATATCAGGTTTTCCATAATCAGACAAACTTCCTGTTCGCCATCTTTATTTCTTTGAAAAACCTTCTTTTTCGAACTCCTCCTAGACCGTTTGTCCG